ACACCGACGGCTTCGCCTGAAAACGTGTTACGCCCTTTTGGTGTTGCACAGACCTAACCACTGAGTTTTGAAAAGCGAATAAAAATCCATTAAGTAATTGAGGAATGCCGAACACATTATCATTTGGCTCGATAATCAGATATGACCAACGGTTGTCATGAACCGATTCAAGGCTCTACGCGATGTTGGTAAAGGTTATAGACCGGCACAGAACTTATGAGCCAATTGCATATCGGTTGAATAAATTACTTAGAGAATTCAAGCGCAAAAATATGCTCAGAGAGGAAGAATTTCCTCAAACGAAAGCAATGGGCACTGCTCTGACTCGACTTTATGACCTGCCAGATATCCATAAAACAAATGTTCCGATGCGGCAAATCGTTGCCCTAAAAAGCAGCCCCTCATAAATCTGCCTAGCTTCCCAATTCCTGGTTGACCTCCGAGGTCTGAGGATATAATCCCAGAAAACCACTGTCTTTTTCGACGTAAAATTATTCACATCCGTTCCCTAGCCTTTAGAGCACGAGTTCCTGCGCAAAAAAGAAAAAAGCTCAGAACCCGCTAAAACTTTTGTGTTTTACGAATTGTTCGAGTTTTCCCTAACTCTTACTTCATACCTGCAAGATAAACCTAAGCGCAGAACAACGGAACCACAATGAGCTCCCCAATACCCGGTTTGATGGCAGAACTTGTCGTACAAGAGCTAGAGAAGAATTGCTTCATTCAGCAGGGGTCGATATTTCAACGACGTTACATTGACGACAATTGTTTTTATCATGAAGAACATGCTGCAGATCTTGAATGATCTGCTGAACTAAATCTTCTCGGTTATTCAATTCAAAAGGGGGAAGTAAAGAAGCGACAGCTGCTCTTCCTTGATGTGCTCATCAGGCGAATTCCGAACGTCAAACTACAGACAACGATTTACAGGGAGGCAACGAACACCACGCAGCTTCTCGGCGTCCACTGCAACCATCCTATGGCTCACAGTCCAAGTTCTGTGAGAGTATTCCTTAATTGGACTCACACTCACTGCCTCAACCAGGAGGAGGAAGCACACACGACCTGATACGTCTACAACCAGTTTATGCGGAATGGTCATTCGAAGGCCTCTATAAGCCGGTGCATAGGTGTTTACCTCCCAAGTTGCCAAACAGAAACTGTATACTGGCTTTGTGGCATGCTCTGGTGTGCATTTAACTGGAACCAAGTTCATTGTTGCGGAACTGGGTGTTGGAATTGCACACCAGCTCACAGTTACTGTAAGTAACCGGGTCATGAAATAACAAGAAGCCAGTCAAATCTGGGGAGCAGTCAAGCGTGTTGTGTCATACCGCGTGGCTAAACTGTCCTTGGAGTTACAGAAGTCAGACTGAACGCATACTCGTAGCATAAGATGAATGTGCGACGGGGTGGCAAATTACCACAAGTGGTTACCCACACCTTCGAAACAGATCAGGAGTTTAGCTCTGAAACCATCAAGATGGTCGTCCACGCCGGAAACAAGACAAGTGGAGAATTGATTGAAGCCTGGTTTTCTGGAGAGAGATCAGTCAATGGATTTATGGATCTGGCGCCGGCATACAGGGTTCGACGCAGACACCGCCATGCCTGCGTCACTGATCTTTAATTAGCAAACAACCCCAACAACTGCCGTCTTTTCTGCTGTCCCCTTTAGCTTTGACGATGGACTCCCGCACGAACTCGAAAGCTCAGAAAAATGAAAAAAATTATTCCTCTGCCCGAGCAGTCTTATTCATTACCCAAAAACATTTACTCCTGACACTATTCTACCATCCCTGAGATTTACGACCTTTAGGCTAGGAGGCAGAAATTGAGGTCAGCTTAAAATCGGCCTCGTAGTAAATTTCCCTAGAGAATAATTCATCTCCTCACACTCGTTTGTGCTGCCTGGTGGCCCTATGCGCGCTTATCTTCCCACCTGGTGTTGAGATTTGCAAAAGGGTCAGGCCAAATGTGGGCGATTAAAGCAGATCTTATGTTCACCTCTCGACAATGAGCTCTTCGAAGCATTCAGTCGGTTAATTCTGGCAAAAATAAGGTTATGATCTGTTCTTGCAGCCGCACTTGAAGCACATAATATTGCTGAGCCACTGGATTGTTTTCAGTAGGCGTGATTACGTTGAAATGGCGTACTTAAAATTTGCCTGTTCCGTTCTGCCAGCGCTCTTCTTCCGTTATCTTGCTTGCTTTTGGGCGGTTCTTTTTCGATCCTGTTAACGGCTAGGCCAATTTCTGCATGCCCTCACCTTCTTTTTAATGCAACGAATGGCTAGAGTTGGAACTTCGAAGGTACAGTTAACACCAACTTGTCCAAAGTACTTGGTCCCGCAGACTTTCGGCTTGCCGTCTTCTTCTGATTCTCGAGTTGCTTTGTCTGTTCTGCATGCCCTCCGCTTCTCTTCTAATCCGGCCAGTGGCTAGGCTAGGTAATTCAATGGCACATTTGAGACCGATTGCTCCATTGAGACTTGATGTGAGAACAGGCGGAGTTTAGACCAAGTGCCCAGTGTAGTTGGACCACCCGTCCCCCTTTCTGCTAACTCTCTCTCTCCATTTCCATCTCCTCCTCCTCCCCCTCTTGCTCCTCTTCCTTCTCCTCCTGCCCCTGCTCCTCCTTCTCCTCCTCCTCCAACTCCTCCTCCATTACCACCTCCTCCTTCTCCTCCTTCTTCTCATATTCCTGCTCCTGCTCTTGTATCCACAAACACCGTCCACGAACTTCTTTTCGCCCATAAATGTGTCCTCAATTCAGCTACTGAAGGGGACATACAAAGGAGCATGGATCTCTTCTCCGCCACCTGCGACAACTTATACCTGGTTATCAACACGGAGAAGGCGGTGGTTATGCACCAACCGCCACCCAACACTGCCTACAATGCGCCGCAAATCAGCGTGAACGGCGCCAAGTACAAGTGGTGGCCAACTGCACGTATCTGGGCAGTACCCTCTCCTGCAGCAACAAAATGGACGATTAAGTGGACTTCTGGATTCTCCAGTCCAGTCATACCTTCGGTCGTCTTCGAAACACAGTTTGGATTAGTTACTGTCTTTAACTCAGCACGAAACTGAAGATACACAAGGCTGTCATTCTACCGACGTTGCTGTATGGAGCAGAGACTTGGATGGTGTGCATGAAGCAGACACGTACACTCTGCCACTTCCGCCTCGGCTGTCTTCAACGGATACTGAAGCTGAGGTGGCAACACCAGATACCAGACACGATAACAATGGAGCGGACGGGAATGCTCAGCATTTACGCTATGTTGGATCGGCCAACTAGTACGAATGGACGACGAGCGGCTACCCAAACTACTCTTCTATGAAGATGTAGCCACGGGTTCATGCCGTCAGGGAGGCCAAATTCGTCGATACAAGGTTATTTATCAAACTCCCCTGAAGCTCCTGCAGATCAACCTGACAAACTATGAAGGCCTCGCCCGGGACCGACCTACGTGGTAGAAAAACAGGCGCTGCAATCTTCGAAGTCAACCACATCGCCCCTGTGAAATTTAAACGCTAAGCACGCAAAACTCAGCTGCGCCAACCTCGAAATGCCAACACACAGCCGCCTCCATCTTATCCACGGGGTCAACGGACATTCCGGGCGCCAATTCGACTTGTTGGACATCTCCAGACCAACTGCGGCACACTGAATGCAACAACCGTCGCCCGTCCGTCAACTACTTCCTCGTCCTCTACGCCATGGGGCTAACTCTGACCGTCCTCCTGAACCACCACATCCATCCTGCTCCTCCTCATACTCATTCTCATCCTCCTCATCCACTGACCCAACGACTGCCGTCGTGGCGCCTGCCACGCACACCAACACTACAACAACATTTTCACCCCAGTTGTCTTAACCGCATACTGAATCTGAGGTGGCAGAACCGAATCCCGGACGCTGATGTAGTGGAGCGTTTACGCCATGCTGAGACAACTGCAACGAGGTTGGAGCGGCCATCTCGTGCGGACGAACGACAAGTGGCTACCCAAATGACTCTTCTATGGAGACGTCGCCATGGATTATCGCCACCAAGAAGGCCAAGTCTGTTGCTACAAGGATACTCTGAAGTCCTCTCTGAAACGCCTACAAATTAATCCAACCAATTAGGAAGACCGGCCGAGACCGGTCGACCTGGAGGAGGACAGTGAAGACAGGCGCTGAGATCAACGAAGTCAACCGCATTGCACCCGCGAAAGACAAACAAAAGGCCTGCAAATCTCATCCGCGCCAACCTCACAATGCCAACGCACAACCGCCTCCAACGTGTCCACGGAGTCAGCGGATACTGGGGACGCCAATTGGATTTGTTGGACACCTTCGGACCAGCCGCACCATTCGGACTGCACTAAACGTAGTCTTTCCGCCACCTCTTCATCGCCATCTACGCCGTCAATTATTTCTAGCCGCCCTCCCAGACAGCCTCTTCCATCCTCCTACTTCACCTCCCCTGCCTCCTCCTCTCCCTCCTAATCTCCCACCTGCTTCTCTTCCTCCTCCACCGCCACAACGTCCGCCGCTTTGGCGTCGGTCACGCACATCAACACTACCCAAAATCCTGACAAAACAACAACCATCAACACCACCACCGCCGAAACCAGACATGAGGACCTAGATTACACCTGTCCTCACTGCGACCGCACCTTGACCTCACACATCGGCCTGATCGGTCACTTGCGTGTCCATCGCACAGATGCTGGCGAACCAGCGTCTGGAGCACCAACCCACATCCGCCGCATCAGCCTAGACAACCGCTGGCTACACCACACCACCACTACCCCCTCACCACCATCTCACCGCACATAAACACCACCCGCCGCAATCACCCAACTGCCACCTCCCACGCAGGTGGGAAGTGTGCGTCTCGGATCCGTCTACATGCGGCTCCTCCGCTGCATGTGTGATCTGAGTCTGAGACTATCCCGACACGTCAAACACCGCAGCATGGAAGGCTTCTGATTGACGTCCCAACTCAGCTCACTCTGTTCTTCCAGTTGTGTTTGTTTGTGTGGAGTGGCGGACTGGTGGGCTGGGGGCCAGACCGAAACAACTCATTCCACGGCACTCTCACACATGTGAGAGTTACGCCGCCCAATCCCCGTTGTGTGAAATCCCCGTGTTTGTGTTTGGGGAGACAGGTCGTGCATGTGGCGCGCGCAGACATGGTCACTAGATATGTCAGTCACCGCGCCCATTACCCGCTCCAGTCAACTGGCCGGCTCGGACAGTGACTGGGGCATGGGAATGGGAAGGGAGAGTGAAGTCAACTAGTCAGCGCACTTTCCTCCCTATAAACAATCTGACGCGCTTGAAGCAATCACGGTGCGCTAAAAGCCGTGACATGGGACCTTGCCAACTAATGGGATAACTTGAAACTCGCAGTCGGCTAATGTTGTGTGTGTTTGTGTGGAGCAGCCGGCTGGTGGTCAGGCTGCAATGGCTCCTTCGTAATGTGGCCTTTATGGCACTCCCATGAGTGGACTTTGAGCCGGGTGTGGCTTCGGCCGTGCCAGCCTCCACTCTGTTGTTATTGGTCACAAGCCTGGTTATTTGTTGTGTGGACCGGGGGTGTGGAGTAGAGTGCAAAGATGCAGGCTCGACCGCGCCATCCATCTGCGCTCTGCACCGCCTCCGGTCCTCTTGACTCTGTCATGACACCGAGTCCAGGTGGGGAGGAGGAGAGAGTGCGGTAGATGCAACGTAAGTCTACTCTCGATATACTACCGCAGAAGTCACCGTCCCTGCTCCCACCCTGTTGTGGGACACACGATGGACATCGTCGGATGCGACGGTCGAACTGTCGTGTGTGTGTGCGTGTGTGTATAAGTTTTCCCAGCCTCCTGGCAGGCTTTCGGCTTCCACACCGTAGCAGAATCTGTATCGGGCTTCATCTATGTTGGCCCATATTTTCCTTCATCTTACTGGGCCTTTCCCGGAGTTTACGCTTCAACCTACTCCAGTAGGCCTTTATCGCATCGGTGTTCTTTCCACCGACTGGGTCGACCAAACTGAAGGAATTGCTTGCCGTAAAATTCCAATTACCTTCCTGTGAGAGATGTGCCTGCGTATTCCACTGATCCGCAGCAATCACGCTGCCGGGAGCAGCTCATTTCATTATTACTGCCCTCAGCGCAGGCCAGTTGCGATCATCCACTTGCTCCAACAGCGCTGCCCTGCTGGCTGTATCATACATTCCCATAATGCAGTTCTGTTTCTAGATACGAAAACCGTTGTTCTTTCGCGATCAACCATCGCTATATCCACCTGCACCTCCAAGTCTGGTTCTCCTAACTGATTTATTACATTTAGCAGCGTTCTGGTGCACACATCGTGTCCGATGCCGTATCGTTCAACCGCCGTACTGCAGTTAATGTCGACGGACGTTGCTTACCTTATAACCCACTACCCTCCAAAAAAGTGAAGCATGTCCTCATTACCTTCTCTGAGGACAGCCGGTTTCCTTCAAAAACTGACCTCACTGCTTCCTTGGCTCTACACCGGCCGCATCTGCAGTATACATATTTTCGGTTAATACGGTTTACCCGAACGCATACCCGTTCGTACGCTGACGCAATATCACTGTTGTATCCAACTGGTTAACGTTTGGAATTCTCCACGCCCTCTTCGCAAGTGCTTCCACATTTGGCCTCTGTTAACATTTCCCTTCCCCCTTTTGGTAACCCTCTTTTAAGCGTGATCGGCGTTCTTTTACTTAACTAGACTTTGTATTCTGGCCTTGAGCTGGGAATTCGATTTGCTCGAACAGTAACAAAGGAATTCGTTGCCTAGGATATTAATTGTTGAGGTTTGTACGTTTTTTATTATTACCTTATTAAATCGATAGTACCGTATATACAGCGAAATCTGTTTTTAGCTTATACGTGTGACTGAATTTACCAAGAATTCTACAGTACTCAACATCGTACCATAAATTGGAGGCAATTAATTTCATCAAATACAGCCGCGTTCTATGAAAAATGAATCGGGCGGTACGGAACGGTCTCCTGAGCTAGACAAACCAGGTGCCTTCAAAGGGCAGGAAGAGCCGAAGAAAGACGTCCAGTCCGGCTCTTGTAAGAACGTATCTATTAATAGTCGTAATTCCAGTAAAACAGTTAAAGCCTTAAGAATAGCCGAACTAGAAGAGAGGCGAGTTAAACGTGGGGCCGAACTCCAACGGCTATTTCGATGCCGAGAGAAGGACCGAGCTTGCAAGGATAGAGGTAGAAACCGACAAAGAATGAAGACCGTCAACCCGTGGATTCCGTCGCGCATGTCTCGGGAAATTTGAAATAATGCGCATTAAATGAAATTTCTCCTGATGAAAGTAATCATTGCCAACTTGAGAATGTTGATATGCCCAAAGCGAGTGCTAATAACCTGCCAGATTCCAGTTTAGAACTGCCCAAGGTTGAGTTTTCCTGGTTGGACGGGAACCCAATTTAGTATTGGACTTCAAACGACAGTTTGAAGTGTACGTAGAGAGCAAAGTTGAAGGTGCTGGACAGAGGCTTCTGTATTTGATTCACTATTACAGAGGTGATGCGAGGACGGCCATAGAAGAGTGCGTCATGCTGCCCTCACCACTGGCTTATTCAAGAGCACGGGAAATATTGAGCAGCTTATTTGGCCAGCCACATGTAGTGGCTAATGCCGTCTGGACTGTGTCTTCGGACAGGCACGCCAAGTTAACCGGACCGCAAAGGCACTCTCAAATTTGTGCATAAAAATTAAAAGTTGTGAAATAGCGCTCACACAAATGGATTACGTGTCCGACCTACAGCGAATAGTGCGATGGTTGTCATTTTTTATGCAAATCCAATGGGTTGAAGTTTCTGACAAAATATATATGAACGGTAGAGATCCAGACTTTGCAGACCTCACTGAATTCGTAAATACCCAAGCTAGAAATGCGAGAAGTCGTTTCGGACAAATATCTCGAGACGGGATGTCAAGCGCTCTCAACAGCCCTTTACTGCCACAGCCCAAAATCAAAAACGGGAGAAGGTTAACAATTTTGCCATTTCGAGTGTCGAACCAGATCAACGGCCATGTTACCTATGTTCTAATGCACATGAAGTAGCAAGTTGCCCACGTATTCTCTCGATGGGTGTTGCAGATCGATGGAATAGTCTGCGGGAACACAAAGCGTGCTGTGTTTGTCTTGGTAATACGAATTTCGCCAAGATCTGCAGCCACCGTTGAAAGTGGTCCGGTAGTGGGGGGAAGGTATGTGGTATTTTACTGCAGGCTTTCATGAAGGCGTATATGGTCAAATAGACCCAAGTGATGATGGAATATCCTTGAACAGTGTGGGCAGGCGAATCGTGTGGGTCGGATGGATATCAAGGCTCCTGACACTGGCGTGTCAGTCTCTTTTCCATGGAGTTTTCAAGTGCACGACCTGGTCGATGTGTGATACAGATGTGCAATAGTATTGAGGACAGCTTAGAGCTGTGGTTAGTGAGCTGTCGGATTGACGAGGCTATTAGAAGTTGGATTGCTGGTTGTGGAGGATTTGGTAGTGCTGGTCTTATAGGGGTTTTCAGGTGCAGGAGATAGTTTTTCGGGATAGCATTGCAATGAAATTCGCTGTCATGCGTACGCATACGACCAATTAGGCCTCTGCAGTGCCTTAATCTAGTGGGGTAATGTAAACGGATGAAGCATGTATGACGGGTTTGCGTTGGTCCAAAACACACTATTTCATCAGTCCCTATGTGATTCGGTCCCAAATGGCCGACCTGGCCTATGCCTTCTGTGAAAGTATGGTTGCAGTGGCGACAGGTTGGAAGTGAGTCCGTGTTGCAAGTGGTGGCAGAGGCAATGACAGTAATGTTTTGTAGGTCTGTAGGAGTGCCCTCATTCTTGCTGCTAGTGGCAACAGTAGTGGTAATTTGGTGTCCGATAAGAGGAGGATTGGTCGTGTTTACATTGCACTGGTTCCGCAGGTGTCCAATGAGGCCGATTCCTGTCCGTAGTGTCTGCTGACTCGATGGACACGATGGCAGGATTTGAATGCTGGCGTCGTCGCTCCGTTCCAACTGAGAGTCGTTGATCTCACTCTCTTTCTTTGCCTTAACAGTGGCTATTCGGTTGGCTTCGAAGATCGATTATCCAGCCTTTAAGGATGTCATCTACCCATACATCGGTCGACGAGTGAATGTGTTTGTCAAGAGAAAAATGTGTTCCGCACAGACCAGCGAGGAGAAAGGGTCATTGCTGTTGCAGCTAGCAATCCCACGGCGTCCAAGCGCCCGCTCCTAGGCAGCATAGCCTGTTTCGAAGCGAGCACTGAAGTAACCAATGACAACCAGTTTGTTCATCTTCTGCAAAGTTGTCAGGTTGACTTTTGGGTCTTCGTAGAACCTGTTCTTCATGTCATGGAAGTTGCCCATTGAGGATGCATGACGATGTATGTGCTGACGATGTTTGTCACTTTGTTTCTTCGGAGAGGCGGTCCTATGATTGGAGACGGTCACTGACGCATTGCGGCAGGCAGGACAACCGTGTCACGGAGGCAGTCCTGGTGGAAAAGGCG